GCACTCGTAAAACCATCTCGCATGGCGTTCTTCAGAAGATCATCCAAATCCATACCCATCGCGTGCTGAGTGAGGAACAAGAGATGCTGCAGCAGCAGGGCAGCACAGGCAGCGTAGAAGCTTACCTTAAAGAGCTCTTGGGCTTCTTCCATTGATATATGTCTGTAGTGGACATTGCCTGAATACGTTCTCCGATGGCGGAGTCATATAAGATGCCTACCTTCAGTGAAGCCACCCTGAGGGAAGCCACTGCCTGGGAAGGGTCCTGAGGCCCCATAGCTAGGACCAGACGGGCCTCTACTAGTGCTACTGCCGGCGGCACCATAAGATGACGAGCCACTACCGAATGCGTCGTACCTTGACTCAAGTGAAATCCTGGGAACGAATCATTGAGACTGTCTATTGGTTATCCACAAAGTTGCCATATTCAGATAAGTAGCCTTATGTGAAAATAGCCGATCCCTCGAAAAACAGGGATCAGCATCAATGAGACTATTTCAACCACCTTGGGCAGTTCACTGGTTCCACCCTAACATTTATTATTGTGAAGAATTCATTCCATTTTCGACATCTGTCGTCGCTCGGTGCCTGTGAGTCTGTACGCATGTCCCCTGCCTACTGTCTGCGTTTGTCTTCATCACCAAGCGTCTGATAGGCCTCTCCAATATCTTTGAACTTCTCCTCCGCTGCATTGCGGTTGTCGGGGTTCCGATCAGGATGCCACTTCATCGCTAGCTTACGGTAAGCCTGATAACGTCATCTCCCAGGGAGAACTACGCAAGCCTGGGCCACCAGGGAATCATCCAGGAAAAAATTCCCATGTAAATTCATCATAATAGGAACATCATTTGTTATCATTGTTATCGAACCCTGCGAGACGTTATTTCTCAAGGCTGCATGGGTCCCTGTAGCCGACATGAGCTGATACCGCCTCCGACTACTTCTCAGTAGAGAATCTCACCCCATAGGGAAAGTATTGGAGGGCTAACCATAAGGCTCACCTTCTTGATATCGTCTTGAGATGCACTGCGAGATACCCCCAAGACGTCGTAGTAGTCCTTGGGTCCAGACTGGGTGGCAAACGCCCGTCCGAGCAGTGGGGAGATCCGTCTCGATAGTAGGGACGGTCCGGCTACCCGTGCTATGAGTCGGGCACGCGACACTACTGCTGGAGTTCTTCGAACTGTGCAAGACAGGATTGAATTGAGCATGTATGATGTGGCAGATATCAGTAAGGAAGGGCCCAAGAAGGCGCCCTCTTCATGAAACAAGAAACTGAAGTACGCCGTTATCAGGCCTTATCACTGTGAGCACACCAGATGCCCGACAGGAGTAGATCAGGACAGATCGTGATGATGAGGAATACCATCTTTCACATAACTCTCAAGCCTCTTGTGGTTAACCCAAGCACCTCCAACACGGAATGTTATCCTGTCATCACTAAAATTATCACAAAATTATAAAGTGGCCCATTCAAGCTGTAAATCTGTTTGGAATGACTTCATCGCGGAGTCGATTGGGCCCAGCACTCCCTCCAACAGCACGTCAGCGGATGTCCCCAAGCTCGAGATCACGGGGGCTGCCTTCTCCTGCCTCGGGGTCGACCATATCGCTGATATTGGCACGGCAAATGGGACCTGTCCATGAGCAGCTGATATGCTCCGAACAGTAGTATGGAGACGACTTACACAGTTGGGAAACTGCCAGCCACTGCGTAATACACCGCTCATGGAAGACGTGCCGTGTATTGCACGGTAAGATCATAACGGAATCATCGTCACTGAAATCTGATAGGCATATTGGGCAGCTCTCGGGCACATCAACGGCTTCATTCGGTGATCGTGACCCTACACAGACGATGGAAGAGCTAGGGTAAGGATGGTGGTTTACCTGATTCCTCTAAAAGTCTGTGGTACTCCGTTTTGGGAATTCGGCGGACCATATCGTCACGTGTGGCGATCTGAGGAGAGAATTCCCAAACGACCTCGACGATATGATTATCGCGCTACCTGGTTGGCATCAGGTGGGAACATGATGGGAAGGAAACAGAGTAGACAGGGCAAGCAGCACATCACCTGAGAGAGTAATATGAACGTTCGATATTCAGAGAGCTCACCAGAAACAGTATAGCAACAGGTAGAGCCACCACTAGGAACTGTATAAGGCACATGACCATGGCGAAGTTCCACACACCCCTGTCGCAGATATTGCTGACCCATAGGAGGTAACTGCAGAGAGGGGAAGACTGTATGAGAATAACGATGATGGCGAGGCGTTCTTTGAAGCGATGGAGGGAACCTCAGGTCCAAATGTAAACTAGGTAGATGATCTGTTCATCCTTTCCCGATGTCTGCAGCTACGTTTCAGTACTCTTCGATTGTTCGAAGTCCGCACGACGAGTCGTGACTAGCTGCACCACACATGCAGAGATGATGACTCACCATCCGAGAATCCAGATGTAGTATCCCGTCCGATTGCAGGTGACAATCCATGAAGTAACTCGTGATAAGGCAAGCTCATGGCCACCTTGACGAGTTAGCCAGAAGCGAACTGAGAGATCTGGAGTAGCTCGTGAAACCCAGCAAGAGGGCAACTCACCAGCGACCAAGATGGCCTTCAAAACATGTCGGCCCACGAATAGGGTGATCCACAGCGGCAATGGTGTGTCACAGGAGTCGTTAAAGCCTAAAGGTCGAATCGAACCAAAGACCTCCTAGACGACGGCAGATGCCGTTACGGTTCCGCCAGTCGCACTCAATTATAGTCGGCATCCCTACCAGCGCTTGTCGAAGCATCCTTCAGAACCATCAGTGCAGCGAGGACAACACCCAGTACTGCCATGCCATAGACTATGACCACTGCCAGGGGCAGGTCCGGCAAAGTAACCATACTGTTGGCTAACTCACTCGCGGTAGCTCGTACCTAGTCCTCGAGGCTCACAGCAGAAACATGGGAGAAGACGCGCGCATACTCGATACGGATTCGTCTCGTCATACAGCACATCGTCGAAAGCTTCTACTGAGGCATCATCTGTCGTGACGGAAGCTTCGCGAGCAGGGGAGTCCTCGCCTTGTACGGAACCATCGGCTGGCAATCCGGCGTACCGAGCCGCTCTAGAGGAGCGCGACGGTCGAGTCTCGTCGTTCGGCCGAAGCCTCGATATTACACGACCAAAGTTGACACGCATGGAATGAATCAAGCAACTACTGTGGAGAAATAGGCGTACACTCTAACGCAAAGACAGGGCCATGGAGATCTCAGCAAGGACAACTCTGGGAGTTGCCGTTGAAACATGTTATGGATTGTGCGAATCACATCATCTTGTTCTCATAAACTGGCCATTCCCGTCTCCTCGCAAGATGACCGAGATGGTCCGAAACTAAATAATGGTCGACCATCGTTGGTCGTCATCGTGATCCCTGTCTGATACATTCGTTAGGCCCAATCAGGTGGATGGAGATTCCGGGAAAAGGTGGTATCGGCATACGGTAGATGTCACTGACACAGCATCACATCACTATCCCTACCTTAGACGTATCCGCTACTGCAGTAAGGACTGCTGCTGCTGTCATCAGCCTACCCACCTGCCCAGCCGGTGTTCGCTTGCTATACATCATTGATACTACCTCGACTGGTGTCTACCGAGAAGTCCTGTCAAAGAAAAGACATCCCGTGGTTGAGTCAAACCCTTCCTCCCATTGGTTGCCCAAAATCGATGCTTCCTCGGAGGGTAAATAACAGGACTTCGACTCCGCAACAAAAGCGCGAAAATGGCATCCTCCGCCGTAACAGACATCCACTGCCATTCTCGTCCAGTCGACCCCCGTGCCCTGGTATTCGAGTACTACCTCAGGTAGTACTCCCCTTAGGAGTACAGAGGCTGCCTGTTGTCGATTCCGACTCACAGGTCGTCTACCTATAAGTCGGAGTCAGCAAAAGGCACCTCGTTGATGCACAACGTATCGACCCTAGGTAGTAGTAGTAGTAGTAGTAGTAGTAGTAGTAGTAGTAGTTGCCAACCCATATAGGAATCCACAGATGATGGTAAAGATACCGAGTCACTCCCAGGGGATGTACTCCCGCCTTCAGCTTATCGAACACAACGAGCCACCGAGATTGCCGTGGTCATTACAGTCCGTCGTCACTCACGGCCATGTTCGTCGGAATTGATGAAAATTCATGCAGGAAAAACTTTTTCCCAAATCCCATCCTGGATAGTACTACCGTCCATCTCTCGAATCCACTGAGTACAACTAACGAGTCCTCGTTCGTTCTTCCCATCCACCAACGCACCCTTCGTTACAACTCATGTAAGTCTGGCTGACAGGAGCTCCTCATTCACTAATAGCTGCCAATACTCGGCAATGCCGAACCAACTTCAGACGCAACAGATCTGATTGATATTAGCCATCTCTGTTGACGAATAGCAATAGCAGTCACCGTGTCACACGGCACAACGCCACATGCGAGCTCCAGCAAACCTCGCGAGTCACCAACTGCTCGCACCCATTGGCGGCATTCCTCCCATTCCCGACCACTCCGATGTAGCGGCGCATACTTGCGCTCATCAGCTTAGGTTTGATACTCGTCCAATTAGCCCTCGGGAAAGACCTCAGATCATCAATAGCAATCGTTACTCTCACTGGCGCTCCGAATTCGCGTAAATACTGGCAAATAGGGTCGTAAAAGGGCAACCATATAAGTCTAACTCGAACCTACGCCATCAACGAACAGAGCTGTAACCAATGGGGAAGCCCAGTCCCCGCAGATCTCAGCTCCTGTGATCCCAGCAGAGCCTTCGGTGACCACATGAGTTTGAGCAGCAATCCCAGGTTCCTCAAAACAACCATTGAATTCTCAACCAGACTCATCGATAAGCCCCATCCCTTGTAGGGTACACAACGCAGTAGGACGCGAACAGAAACATGCTCATCCCTAGTATGCAACAAAGAGCACCATACCTATCAAATAGAGAAGTCCTCATTGGGCATGTTGGTCTCCTTCTCAGTGGTACCCGTATAGAAGCTGATAGGCTTGTAAAAGGTAGACCTACACCACACATCTACAGCTCTTACGACCCAAGTCTGGTCCTCAAGTACCGTAACTTCCACATATTGTTATAAGGCGTAACCTTCTCCGTACTTAGCCGTAGAATGCCTGGCAACAACAAACTTACATCCCTCCAAGTAAGCGACTTCAGACCCGTGTTGTGACGGCCTATCTCCTCAATGGCATTCCATGATGCCGGATGAGCTCCAAAGTTCATGGTAAACCACCTAAGTACACGAACCAACAACAACAACAGCTCCACCATACATTCGTACTACCTCCCATAGAAGAACTTTCGCCGATACCCCTGCTTCAATAGGAAGTAACTGAAGCAGTCTAGTATTCCAAAACAGCCAATATCGCAACCCTACGGTAGATTTCTCCAGCCGAGGTCCTCAAAGCTGAATACAACACCCCGGTTGTTGGTCACTGCTCGAGCCATCTCCTTAACCAAGCACCTCAGTTCATGGTTGGTCACTTCGTTGTGGACGAGGAAGTATGTACGATAGAATGGCATTCCAAGGAGATCACTAAACTCACTCCCTTCCCCTCCGTGAAGCGAACATGATAAAGCCACCCTTGAATTCACTCAATGCTCAACTGCTGCCTCACAGAAACCCGTAATGCATCACAAAAAGAACTTCAGCCACTTCCTAGTAAAAGTCTGAACCCAGGCTGGGATGTTTCGTGCGGTAATCAGTTCCGATGGGGTCGGTACTGTCGATGAATACTCCATCATATTATCAACCTAAATGGACGGCGTAGAGTTGATTATAGAGACCCCTCCACAGCGACTAGCCTCCCGCACAGTGCTTTGCGCTCATTCGCCTCACTACCTCCTTTTGCAGTTTGCCACTGAAGGCTGAGCCCTCCTTCGTACGGAACAAGAAGCTCATCTCAAGGTCTCTATCCCGCGCCCGATAGCCGTAGTTACTGCTACCCACTAGGCATCCAACAGGTGTAGACCCGACAGATCGATAACCCCAGATGCCCTGAACAACGAACTGACAAAACACTCCGTACAGTAGCTACTACCTTCGCATGGAAAGTCCAGTACGGTCGTTCGTATTCATGCAGCGTTCCACGCGTTAATCTTTTCATTAAGTCAACCTCCATCGTAGTGTACCTTCATTCGAGCAACGTCTACGTCCACACGAAGAGCATCAAGACGCCCTCACATATCTGGTATATGCTGGCTCAATCCACCGCTCTTATAGAAACTATTAGCCTTCGGACAAGCGACGATGACATCGATAGGGCGACTTGCAAGCATTCCTTCAATGCCAGGGGGAGGGTTGGCGTAGCCTGTAAGGAGTAGAGTAGAGCTACTACCACAAACACTACTACCTGAAGCCATCACCAGCCGACTACCATCCCCATCCCCCATGATCTCAAGGAGTCTCCACAGCAGCTCTTGATCAGCATGCATGTTGAGGTATCCGCACTGGATGCCCACCTGGACTATGCATCGCTTAGTATTCTTCGGCTCGGGAACAGGTGAATCTGATGGAGACTGAGATTGCAGCTATAACGACCTCTTCCAACAGTGGAGCCGTCCCTTCCGTTCAAGTACACTAACAGGCTCAAGGCGAGGAGCTTACCTCCGTTGAAGTCCTTGAATTTATCGAAAACTTTCTCAAAATTTTCTCGAAGTATCTGCTCAACATTACAATGCCCGTCCCCTGTCTGAACAAGGGCCCAATAGTACCCTTTTAGTCTCCTTAGACTTTGGAGCATCATGATGTTGACCATGCCTTGCCTCTCCTACGTCTATAGATGCACTGGACACGGCATCTATTACACTGCTTACGAACTCAGCGATATCGGGGCAATTACGTAGTACCAGACACCTAAGACAAATGCTTTCATAGGTGTCATCCCCTCAGCACCGTCCTACTACTACTACTACCACTACTACTACTACTACTACTACTGATACTACCTATCTTGCCTATCCCTAAAGTAGCTGCCACCAAAATTGGCTCCTGTGAGAAGGACAGTGTCATCAGCGACAATAGCCTTCATGTGCTGTACCCCCAAAACCTCATTCTGTCGTTCCCGTAGGAAGACCCGGCCAGCGCCTTTGTACCTTCCTAACGATACTTTCCAGCGCACGGTAAAAGTTCAACGATTACTACATCGGACTGCAAAAGAACTTCAGTTCAGCAGGGTTCCGTATCAGCTCCCCTGTATGATCGTGCAATACTTCCTTCTTACACAGGGACACCGAGCTAGCCCCTGTTTTGTGGTCTTTACGCGTGCCTCGTAAGTAGTCCATGACCAGTGTCCTCTCAGGTGCGTTGCATTCCCTTCCCAAGGCCCTCAGCATCTCCCTCTCCCTATCCCCTGTACCAACATACAGAGTAATCATCTTACACCGAGTCTTGGCTCCTCGTATCAGAGCCAAAACCTCCTCATAGAAGTCCTCTGGAGTGTAGTAGACGTCTATTGCACTGTCTGGGATCTCGAATGAAAATATCCTAGTTTCGTCCTTCTCCGACATTTCATCACAACAGGCTGTAACCATTATCAATAACTACCCCACATACATCGGAACTTCCTGACCATAGTTCACCTCACAAATCTGGGCACGACCTATTCAATTGATTCCTACCGCACCCCATGGAATACGTTCGAAATTCAACTTAGTCACAACCCATTTTCAGCATAAGATAACTCTACTAGATATGCAACTACCACAGCATGGCAATGTACAAACTACTCTCAACATGGAACAGGATATTGCTGATAGTATTGACTCGATACTGTACAATAAACATGACGAAACCCTAGACCCAAAACCTCAGAGATAATAGCTCCAATTAGTAATATAACTAGATAATAACTAGTTATATTACTAATTGATATTACTATTAATAGAGAGAGAGTTAATATAACTAGTAGTTATATATTAGTTTATAATATAATATAATATAATATGGCATATTGTTGATGCTATATCCACATACCCTATTTTACCTAATCATAATATCTGTGTCATTATATCAATAGTTAATATTAATTTATCTAATAAGACCATATAGATACTAAATATATGATATATCTATTCAGTAACTGTCACCAACACAACAACAAAAGTAAGAGTTCGAAACATCGAGCTCGACAAGCTCGAACTATACATCGCGATCTAATCGCAAGTGTAAGGTGGGTATGTTATTAAGAAACATTTACTGGGCATCAACCTTGCTCATGTGGACAGCGAGGTCAACAAGACGGTTGGAGTAGCCCCACTCGTTATCGTACCAGGAGACGAGCTTGACGAACTTGTCGTTAAGAGCGATACCGGCCTTAACATCGAAGATGGAAGAGTGCTTGTCGTTGCACATATCAGTGGAAACGACATCATCATAAGTGATACCCATGACACCCTTCATGTCACCCTCAGAGGCCTCCTTGACGGCGGCGACGATCTCGTCGTAGGTAGCGGCCTTCTCGAGACGGCAGGTAAGATCGACAACAGAAACATCAGGGGTAGGGACACGGAAGGACATACCAGTCAACTTACCGTTGAGAGAGGGGATGACCTTACCGACGGCCTTAGCGGCACCGGTAGAAGAAGGAATGACGTTGGCAGCAGCGCAACGGCCTCCCCTCCAGTCTTTACCGCCCTTAGAGGGACCATCGACGGTCAACTGAGTGGAAGTGGTAGCGTGGATGGTGGACATGAGACCCTCGACGAGACCGAACTTGTCGTTGATGATCTTAGCAAGAGGGGCCAAGCAGTTAGTAGTGCAAGAGGCGTTGGAGACAACAGTGAGATCGGAAGTGTACTCCTTGTTGTTGACACCCATCACGAACATGGGGGTATCATCCTTAGGGGGGGCAGAGATGATAACCTTCTTGCAGCCACCCTGGATATGACCAGAGGCCTTCTCTTTAGTGGTGAAGACACCAGTGGACTCGCAGACGTAGTCGGCGCCGGCCTTGCCCCAAGGGATATCGCAGGGGTTCCTCTCGGCGAAGACCTGGATGGTCTGACCGTTGACGATGAGGGAGTTCTCACCAACCTCGACGGTACCGTTGAACTGACCGTGGACGGAATCGTACTTGAGGAGGTACTGCATGTAAGGGA